GTGCAGTGCTTATCTTGTTTGGAGGCCAGACTGATGGGATGTACGTGTCTGGAAATTAAAAGTTAATTTCTGGTCATTTTTTATGTAAATACTTAGCCTTAGGTACATCACAAATAAATGGGGATTTTTTAAATATAAAATTTCTACCTGGAATTCAAGTGCTGCATGCGGATTGTTGTGGAATTAAATAAATTACATGAGCCAGACAGGAAGTGGAAGTCAGCTGGAGAAATGAGCTTTAAACAGGATGTCCGTATCTCCTGATATTTGGACATGTCCTCTGACAACAACACAACTAATGACTTGTTGCATTGCAATGTTGTTGTTTTATCTCCACAAATAACACAAGTCTGGAGGAGTTCGGCCATGTGGTAGAGTTGCCAATGCTAACAATTAGCTTCTACTAGGCTGAGACAGTCTGCTGTTTCCTAGATACTAAGACCAACAACAGCCTTCCTGTCGTGGGTCATGAATTTTTCACCATTTATTTTCCATCAGAAGTTAATGCAGGTGCAGGGCCGGCTTGCCGACAGGCGACACAGGCAGCCTGAGGCGCCATCTGATGGATAGGGTGCAAAAAAATAAAATAAAATAACATAAAAAATAAAACGTTTATTAAATTTATGTTTGTTATATGAAATGCACTCTCTACATACTCAAAATTCCCCTCTGAAATGACATGAAATTAAAACATCAATATTTTAATTCTAATGATCTGGCTGCATTTCGAGCTCCCGCTTGGGCCACCTCTCCGATGCATTTGATCGTTAAGGGTGCCGTAGATCACATGCGTGTGTAGCACTGTAGAAGGATATCCTGTTGTCGTTGCGTTTAAACTTTTGATATTTTACGATGAAAAGAACACCTAAGCCATCGGGATAAGCATTCCGAAAGCGAAGGAAGGAGGAAGAAAAAAAATGGGCCCAAAGCAGAGGTATGTAGACTTTATAAGTTTTGCAAAGGAACTTTTTGCGTTACCATTGTAGCTAACTGCCTCTCCTGCCACACACGGTCCACGGACGGACCCTCGCTAGCTGTTTACATACACAATACAGTATCTCGTAACTTTAACCAATTAATTTTACTTTTGAATCGTCGTGTCCAGATGCAGTGAGACAATATCTGCAGCCTGTCGACAGGCACCTGTTGACACCACGGGGGCGGCACTGTCTTCTACACCTGTTGAGTCTCACTGTGAAGATGAAGAATGTAAGATTTTTTTTACCGTTTTTTGGAGAATGATTGCAGCCTTTTTATGAACTTCGATTCAAGTTTAAGTACGCATACAATACGAATTTAATATTTTCATATCAGAAGAACGTTAGGTGTGGGTGTAGCAAAATTTCAACTTTGTCCGACACATCGGGCGGGCGGCACTGCCGCGGACGTGGCAGGGACTCCCCCGTTGCCGCCGGGTCCGGCGGGGAGTGAGAACTGCCTATCGCACTGCCAAAAACACAGCATGACATCTTATGCCATCTCTTTCTTGTTTACGCTGCAGCGTCTTCATCCAGGCATGACGCAGCAGCAGCACATTTACTGAGCTACAATCTCAGCATCTAGAACCAGGTGAGTAAGTAACTTGTTAGGCTATTTGTAATCAGCAGTAGAAATGGACTTTTTCAAATTAAGCGGCTTATCACATATATCGATATACAAAATTAATTTATTTAAATCCACACCAGACACTTGTTTTTGGCACAATCAGTGCAGCATTGATTTAGCATTGAGAATAACATCTGAACATACACATCTGAAATTGTCTCCTTAAGATGTTATTAGGCTGTAAATTTGTAAAAAAAAAAAGATGGACGTTAGTTTTTGTGACATTAGTGAGTCATCTTCAAGGTATAAAGGTTTATGCCCTGAAGAAGGTCGTACCGAAACGCGTCTGCGTTTCCTTGTTTAATAAATGAAATCCTCAGAGTGCCTCAGATCACCGGTTCTTCTTCCTCATATTCTACATTTATTTGATGCTGAAGAGCACCTGAGGGTGAGACATAAGTTTTTTCAAATATTCCCCATGGATGCGCTCACTTCCACCTGTTTTTGATCATTTTATTCATGTTTTCACAGAACAGATTAAAAAAGATCAATAAAATAAAAAATCCAGTAACATTAAAAATAATGAAAAGCATCACTGCACATGACTGAGGAATATTGAACATTAAATTGGCACTGTTCTTAATTCATGCATCAGAGGGTTAAGTTGCTTTGTGTGTGTGTGTGTGTGTGTGTGTGTGTGTGTGTGTGTGTGTGTGTGTGTGTGTGTGTGTGTGTGTGTGTGTGTGTGTGTGTGTGTGTGTTTATTTTCTCCCAGAAGAAGAACCCAACACCAGCAGACTCAGTTCTCCAATCCAACAGCCTGAAGAGACGCCATCATCAGCTTCAACAGATGTCTGTGAACATGTAGGAGCTGCTGGCCCCATGGATCCTGCTGACTGGCCACAGCAGTAGAACAAAATGGAAAGTAGAACTTTCTTTATGATGACACTGAGATTTGAGTTTTGCTTTAGATTGCACAGTTTAATGCTGCTTTTGATTTTGCCCCCCCCCCCCCCCCCCCCCAATGACATTTGCACAACATTTTGAGTTGTCGGTTATTGTAATATTCTCAGGTTACTTATCTTTCAAGCTTACATTTATTCTTCAGGCTGTTGACTTTAAAGAGTTGCTGTGTGAATATTTAAAATAAAAAATTAGTAACTAAGGAATAACTGTGGAGTTGCTTTGTCCAATGTGTGGTGGGTGGGTGGACTTGGGTTTGGGTGAGAGGCGTGCAGGCACGGGGGGCGCAAATGGGCAGTCTCGCCTTGGGCACCAAATTACCTAGAGCCGGCCCTGTGCCGGTGATAGGTGTAGGTGACTATTTTAATATCCAGCCTGCATTAAAATCTCAATAACTGATGATAGTCAAACAATGATAAAAAAAAAAACATTTTGTTCTGTGTTCTACACCCTTAATTTATATCATAACCCTACTACCTCAAGTATTTAAAACATGTTTATAACCATATCTATGTAGAGGAGGAAAATTCAGTTTAACAATTAGTATCACCTCTACAATAGGCATGTAAGAAAAACACATTTGAATCAGCTTAACTTATGTGAAAACTGTTTTTCATGCAGCTCAGCCAAAACTGAATCCTAACTTTCCTTGAAAAGTTTATCATTATCACAAGCAGTAAACAGCATGTGGTAAAATGAAGATGGCATACAAAAACCACGCCGTCACTTTGATCATTTCTCCCATTGCTTTGGCCACTGGTGGCTTGAAGATTTTGCAGGATACACCGTGGGTCTTTTAATCCCGTCGGCAGGCTCCTTTGTTTCCCTCACAGTATGACGCAGAGCCAACCTGGAGGAAGCTTTCAAACTCTCTAAAACATGAATTATAGGCTCAAAATAGAGTGCAGCACCTGTCATCTAACATTTATCAGTGTGAACCCTCTCTAGTCTAGATACATACCAAAATGTCACAAGAATGGACACCGTGGTTACAAAGCTGCTTACGCTAGTCAGTGACTTCAGAAGCTATGTGCGTTATTCATGTTGTAGCCAGGAAGAATATGAGAATTGATTCAACCAAAAAAGAAAGGTTTGTGAGACAGTTTTGTAAGCGGTTTTCCAACAATCTATATTTTCATTTTCTTTTCATAAGTTCTCTGAACAACTTTGAAAAATAACTTGTTGTTTACCTGTTGCCTTTGTCTGGCTTTTTCCAATAATCCAAAACTGCCTTGAGCATTTTAGTTTTGTTCTATTGCCTCCACTTTCTTATCTTTTCATTCACTCTACATTCATAACTGCTTTCTTTCAAAATCGGCATACAAATCTTATTTCTTTGCTCATTTTTATACATCCGATTGCTTTCTTTTTAATTTTTTTCTTAAGATGTGCTTTCTCGAGTAGGGACCACTTCACAACAATGTGAGTTTTACAGGTGGAAAATGATGGAGAGGAAAGTATAGAAGTGAATATGACATTTGTGATAAGGTTCTCTTGCTGCTGGAGGACAGAAATGAGAGACTTGGACTGGGGGTCCTGTCTCCACTGCTGGGTTAGCTCCTCTGATGGGTTTGTGGGGTTGTGGTAGAGGGATGGCCCTGCTCTTGATCCTAAGATCACCTATTAGTGTCATTTTGATGAGAAATTACTTCTACTTGTGTCTGCTTAAAAAATACAACTGATTAGTAATATTATTTTAAGATCAGTTGTTAAAGCAGCAAAATTCAAAGTTTTCCCCCTTTGAGGAAATATTTATGATTTAGAAATACATGAAATGGATACCTTGTCTCTATTCAGTGATATAATACAGGTAATATGCCAATTGTTTTATCTAAACCTTCCCCCGTCCAGGAGAGCCTCAAGCAACTAGAACTGACCACCTCTCAGCAGTAGCCAACATCATTTGACATCTGCTTATGTACTGATGTTGATAACAGAGTGTGTGTGCAGCTTTGCGTTTGTACCTAGACTGAGCAAAGTTTTCGAGCTGTTTACAAAGCTGCAGACACGTCCAATCATGGAAGAGTTAGAAACATTTTCACAGCCACAAAAAATAACCAGCTAAAGGGGAACTATGCAGTTTTGGCTTGCTTTTAGTACCCCCTAGTGAAGGTTTGTAGAATCGAAAACAAAACCTGAACTGAAAACAAAACCTATCCCCTAGATGTGCGTTAATCTTTTTCTTGCTCTAACAGCTGAAATGTCTCTGTAGTACAGCGTACATTTTAGGACATCCTCAGGTGTCAGGTATCAGATCTCAGGTGTCAGCTCTCAGTTGACCTGAGAACTGACAGCTGAGGCATGAAAACTGAAGACTGACAAATTTCAGACTTTGTACAGCAATTTATTGTTTTTCGCAATAATTGTCCCTTCTAGGCACTGTAGATAAAATCATGTAACATTCTCAACAAGCTGCTGATCCTCTTTGCACATCTTTTTTTTCTGATCTTGACAGAAGTGACTTTTTTGTAGGTCACAAACATGCTCAGTCATTTCTTTCCCACAAAGAACAATTTATTCTTTACACATTTACTGAAAATTACAGTTTATTGAAAGGACACAGAAAGGTCAAAGAACACAGATACATGTAGCTAGGAGTTACTACTCAGTGCATGGCACATTCTCAGGGAGACGACCCATTGTGAGTCTTTGGCTCTTCGCCTCAGGAGTGTTAAAGGCAGAAAGAGTGCTGAAATATTAAACGTTGAAAAGTTGGCCAGCCAACTTGAGCCTTTATATTTCAAAATGTGGAGGAGTAAATTAACCTTGCTACAATGAGTGACAAATAATATTCAAAGTTGGGTAGTAATAGTAATAGTAGTAGGAGGAGTACTTTTTTAAGTCCATTCATATACTCATCACAGGAAACAGTGTCAGACCTCACCAGTGCAAAGGGTTTTTTCTAGAAAAATCACACATTTAGAAAGCAGTGTCCTTACTCAAAACTAAAATTCAAAAAGGTAAACAACATATTAACCATCTAAAAACAAGTTACCAGTGCCATTGCTACCTTTAAACAAAAAAAAAAAGAAAAAAAAAAAGAAAAGAAAGAAAAATTTAAACGCATGCCATTTTACTATGGAGGTTTCAGATGTAAAGTTGAGTTGTGTGGAAAGTTCCGGTATCAGAATTTTCAAACAATGCTGATGTGTGTATATCTAGCTGTGTGCGTGTGATTTAAAAGTGAGATGTAAGGTAATGTGTGTGTGTGTGTGTGTGTGGGCGCACATGGTTTTTGTGAGAGTGCGCATGTGTGTGCTCTTAGAAAGATCCTTCAGGCAATGCAAGCTGAATTGCAATGGCATTCCTTTTGTTCAGTTGTATTTATGTGGCTTTCTTTTTGCTGCTACCTCCCTCTGCCTCTTCGCTGTCGTGTGAGAGCTTTGTGTCGAATTTTCCAGTCTGCTCTTGGCTCCTTTGCTGTGAGATTGGGAAGAAAACAAAACAAAAAGTCATAAGCAAGGGCGTCAGTTTGTTTTCAGAATTGCTGGGGACAATAACCATACACTTGAGTGGGGTTTAAAAATTGCTGGGGACAATAAAGGCAGGCTTTTTTGAAAGTGGGGGCGACACAGCTGCCAATCACAAATTTTGCCGGGGACATGTCCCCGGCGTCCCCGGTTAAAATGACGCCTATGGTCATAAGGAAGACATGCACAAAGATGCTCTGTAACTGATGTGTGGTGATTTGTAATATGCTGGAAATGCTTCTAGAAATATGCAAAATTGGTTCTCAACCACATCAGTTTCTGAAAAGCTAAATCACGAGCCATTGACACTTAATCTTGCTGGCTGGAGATCTTGTTAATAAGCATGTTAAAAAGAGCAGATCAACAAAACCGACTTCTTCAAATAACATTATCATGTTTTCACATTAATAGGTAAAATTAATCTTCACACACACACACACACACACACACACACACACACACACACACACACACACACACACACACACGGGCCTGCACGACTTTATTTTTTTTAAAGTCGACAGTCAAGTAATGAAAGTCGAGTCGACTTCGACTAGTCGTTGATGACGTCATACGCCGGTCGGTCGGTTCGCTGGAGTTTTTGACAATTAAAATTGCGCCCACATTTTCTAAGTTAACACATCTCTTTTAATAACGGTAGTTTCTGCATCCTACTTCAGCCCTCTCCCCCCTCCCCCTGCTTCAGTCCTCTCCCCCCTCCCCCTGCTTCAGTCTTCTCCCCCCTCCCCCTGCGCAGCAGCCGCAAACTCACTGATGCGCCTGCAGCCTTTCCTGCTGCTCTAAACATTAAAATAATTATTTCATTTTCTGTTCCTCACTTCTGATTACCTTCAGTGGTGTCTGTTTGTTGCAACCAGCAGGTACAAAAACGAACTTGTTTTTATTTGACTATTTTTCTGTCCTGTCTGTTTATTATCTTCCTGCATCTCCTCTCAATCCTAAAGAGAAACTGCTACCTGGGTTCATCTATATTCACCTTATGAGTTACCTTTGAACTGCGGTTCTAAAAGATCTACCGACCGCAAAAACAGCGGAGTGCCGCTGCTCGCCGGCCGACTACAACGGGACCGTTTTTGCTGCGGAGTTCATGCCAGAGCGGAGCGGAGCGGAGTGGAGATAGTGGAATCTTGGGGGTGCGTCACCGGAGGACAACAGGTGATGCGCCTTGCTCCGCAGCAGCGAAATGCATCAGGCACAAATAACAGACAGAAAACATGAAAGGAAATGAGCCGACATGAACGATCGCGTGTTTAATTTGTTTTTGAGGTGGTGACACCTGATTTGGCGGTGCTCAGGACGCAATGTCTGGAGCGCGTCATCGATCAGAGCTTTGCATGCGCAAACTGGTTAAGATTAGGATGGGGTGAGGGGAAGGTTAAATTGCAAGAGGGAAAAGGTCACAGTTTGGTTAAATGTCCGTTTTACCGCCGGTGTCAGTACCGCACAGCGCATTGCCTCCGCCTCGATCCAGACGCGCAGGGGCTCATCACCTGCTGTCTTTTCCGAGGACTGCATCTTGTCAGTCATTATCACGTGACAGCGACTAGTTGATGACAGGCATAAAAAGTCACTACAGAGCCGTGAAGTCGACTAGTCGACTAGTTCGTACAACCCTTAACACACACACACACACACACACACACACACACACACACACACACACACACACAGACACACACACACACACGCACGCACGCACGCACGCACGCATGCACACACAATCTCTACCTGTCCCAAAAAAGTCCCCACCTGGATTTAATAAGCAAATAGATATGAGCAGTCCATGAGCACAGCACAGATGGGAATTGGCAGAAATACCAGAGGAGCCAAACATCAACTGCTGATAGACCAAACAATCACCCAAGACTGCAAAGCCTGACACATCAACCTGTGCACTGCCTGAATTGACTGCAAGAAATTCTATGACTCAATGCTGCACTCGTGGATCACAGGATGCTAGGAGCTGTACTACATCAACTGGACTCTGAGAGCCTTCATTGCAAACTCAATGGGGCTGTGGAAAATCACCCTTGAGGCCAATTGTGCAAGTATACATCAAATGTGGCATATACCAAGGAAATTCCCTGTCCCCACTGCTATTCTGCATAGGTCTGAACCCCCTCAGCTAAATAATGAAAAAAAAACCTGGTGATGGATACTGACTCAACAATGGAACCACCTTCTCTACATGGATGACATAAAGTTGTACACCAAGAGGGAGCGAGACATCGACTCACTGATCCACACCACCAGGATCTACAGCAGTGATATCGGAATGTCATTCAGACTTGAAAAGTGTAGTCATATGGTCACAAAGAAAGGGAAAGTAATCTACACAGAAGAACTCTCACTCCCAGAAAGAGCAATAGCAGACATTGAGGACAGCTAGTATCTCAGTTTCCCACAAGCAAATAGCAACCTTGATGAACCCTCAAGGAAAGGAGCCTCAGCAAAATACCTACAATGCATAAGGCAAGTCCTAAGAAGTCAGCTCAATTGCAAGAACAAGACCTGGGCAATTAACAGCTACGCCCTTCCAGTAATCAGATATCTGTAGGAATAACAAGCTGGCCACAGGAAGAAATACAGACTAAAGATGTTAAGACACGGAAGCTCCTAACCATGTGGGTTCCATCTCAAATCCAGCATCCTGAGACTGTACACTAGCCATAAGGATGGAGGCTGAGGACTAGTGAGTGTGAGAGCCACTGTCCAGGATGAAACATCCAAGATCCATCAAGGACAAGACCCTAACAGATGATGTGCTCAGCAAATGTCTCAGACAAAGGCGAACAGAGGAGGAGATGCTGGAAATATCATCGTGGGAGAACAAGCCCCTACATGGGATGTACCACCAACAGAAAACTGAAGTGGCTGATATCAAGAAATCCTACCAATGCCAAGAAAGAGCTGGTCTGAAGGACAGCAAAGAGGCACTCATCATGGCTGCACAGGAACAGGTCCTGAACATCAGAGCAACAGAGTCCAAGATCTACCACACCAGACAAGACTCAAGGTGTAGGCTATGCAAAGAGCCCCCTGAGACAATCCACCACATAACTGAAAGGTGTAAGATGCTGTCAGGGAAAGCATACATGGAACGCCACAACCAAGTGGCTGGCATCGTGTACAGACACATCTGTGCAGAGTATGGACTGGAAGCCTCAAAGTCAAAGTAGGTAACAAGTGAGCCAAGATCCAGACCGACAAAATGGTGATGACAAACTAACCAGACATTGCGGTGGTGAACATACAAGAGGACAGCTGTTGTGTTTAATGTGGCAATTTAATTCAATTCAGTTCAAAAATACTTCATTAATCACAGAGGGAAATTGATTACCAAGTGATGGCAACATAAGAAAAAATGAACATAAAAAAACTAGAGAAGCACCAGGGCCTTGAAGAACTTGAGAAAGCCTAGAGAGTGAAGACATCAGTGGTACCCGTGGTCATCTGGGTACTCAAGGCATTAACCGCCAATCTGGAGGAGTGGCGAAAGTAGATCCCAGGAAAAACATCAGACATCTCGGTACAGAAAAGTGCAGTTCTAGGAACAGCTAAGATACTGCTCAGAACCCTCAAGCTCCTAGGCCTCTGGTAGAGGACCCCAGTTTGGAAGGATGAGACTACCCGCGGAGGGTGATGGGAATATTTTGATATAATGAGACTGAATTAGAGGTCCTTGTTTTCACAGTAAAATCCCAGCCTGCCCTATTGTGTTTAAGCAGTCTGTTTGGAAGCCACCTCTTTGATTGATGGAGCCAACTAAGGATGTTGCCTTTGAAAGACTAAACACTATTGATCTGCACCCCAAAGCTGGAAAGGTACTGAAGCTAATAATGCATTTAGGCAGCTCTCTTAGAAATGAACATGTTGTCAACCTATTTGCTCCTGATGTTCAATATCATTGGGAAAAAGAGCCCCCCCCCCAACAAAAGTTATCAGACAAATATCACAGAAGCATTGGTTTTTGAGATTGAAATGTGTGTCCTGTTGACATTTTCACAAACTATAGAGCTACAGAACTACAACTCTGTTCCCAATGAAAGTACTTTAGCTGACAAATTTGTGCATTATTCTGTTTTATCAAATGCAAATTATGTTGAGGGTTGTTGGCTTGCTTTTGACTGTCTTACTTCCTATTTACCTCTTTAGCTTGGACATTCTCAGCTGTGTAACAGCACTGAAAATGTCTGAGTAGGTTTAACGTCGTTTAGGTCAGTCGGTTGGTTTTGTTGGCGTTTGTTTCTTTGTGACTGTGTCTAAAGGTTTTGCTCATAAATTAACCATCATATCAGGACAAACTGAGCTCTGTGCTTTCGAGAAGAAAACAACCAAGATAATACCACAAATTTAAAAAAAGCTCTCCAATAGCCGATACGTCTCTAATATGGTTGTCTATAGTTCAACATCCTGTCGTAGTAAATTATTTATGCCTAACGTGTTTCCCAGTTAAGTTATATCCTTTTTGCATGTTTATGCACTGCACAGAAGAATCTTGAAAACAATACTTAAAAACATCTACTTAGCATCTAGCAATTTGGAGCCTGCCTTTAGGCAGGCTGGCTGCTCAGAAATTGAGTTACATATAAGTGTGTTTAGCAGTAGATTACAGTTAAACCTCCTGGCTCGAAGCTAGAAGACAAAAACACCAAACACACCCTCCCTTTCAGGGCAGCATGTAAACATTACATTTGAACATTTAAAGCAATAAAATATGACATGCATACAGTACAGGTCAAAAGTTTGGACATGCCGTCTCATTTAATGTGTTCTTTATTTTCATGACCATTTACAAAGGAGCCAACAAGTGCTAAACACCACTGGGAACTCCTTCAAGACTGTTGGGAACTATTTCAGGTGACTACCTCTTGAAGCTCATCAAGAGAATGCCAAGAGTGTGCAAAGCAGTAATCGGAGCAAAGGGTG